GTTTTTTCGCCCATCTGTTCCAGCTTTGAACGCCTGGTATCGGTTTCCCTCATAGTATAATGCAGCATCTGCAAATTTATTATCTCTTTCTGCCTTTTTGTTTTTTATTGGAATTATGTAATTTTTAAGCAATACATACGGATGACGGTCCTTTTAAAAAAGCTAATTTATTCGGTGGCATTTTTTTGTGTATGTGTGTGTATGTTTTCGCGTGTGTGCGTGCGTGTGCGTGTCTTTGCGTGGGTGGGTGTGTGTTGAATAAAAACTATTTTGCGGGAGATTACCACCTGCTTTAGCTGGCACGGTACCGGCCTCGCACAATATCGGCTTATTGGAGTTGCTCTTTAAATGTACTCACTAAGGGGATGACAACGGCAAGGAACTTTTTTCTAAAGGCCTCACCTTCAGCAAGCGGTTGTTGCGTCTTCTCTTGCTTTGACTACGCATGCGCGCTTGAGGCTCACCAGTCGCCGAAGCGTTATTGAAGTTAGGATGTGCGCGCTAGAGGCAGGACCAGCTGAACGACCTCCCTAGCGTCCCCATCTTATCATAGAATATAGTTTTTGTTGCATCCCTATATTGAGAAGAACTGTATTACTGGCGCCGCGCGGTCCTCCCTGCTCCTAAGAAAATATTGACCACTCACTTTGCACAAGTTCTCGTGTCACGTTTATTCGTTGTCTCTATTAAATCAAATGTGTTTCTTCGTTCGTTCTTCGTCTACAGCGGAGACATCGGGTACTCGTTGGGTCTAGTTAACTTCTCGCATAATTCAATGAAACGCCGATTATTTGTTGTCGTATTTTCTCCTAATTAGACGTCTAAACATTCACAAAACGAATTTCGCTTTTCCTTGGACTGGGTCGAGCTGTCTGCTTCTTATGTTCGCATGGTAGTGGCGATTACCGCTTATTTTAGCGTAATAGACGCAGAGCACGTGCATTAATTTGCACTGTTTCCAGCATGCATTTCAGGTGTCTCGAAAAGGCATTTCCTTTTTTCATTGTCACTGTTTTATTTTTCCTTTCGTTTATATATAGTAGAATAAATATTTCAGGTACATAGATCTCATGAATAATTTTTGTCATGCTATAGCTCGTACTTTTCAGACGTGGAGATAGCAGCTGGCTTCTGGGTAATAGAAGGTGTTTTATGAACAATAAGTCTGACGTGCTTGAGTACACCATTGTGAAAAGGCTGGAGTTCAGGACGAAAACTACTTGTCCGAGATGCGGCATCGCTACAGTGAAAGACAAATCACATTCAAGAAAGAGGTATATGTATTTTTCCGTAGTTAAGGAAAGCTATTTGCACACATAGCTGCCCTTCAATGCAATATTGTCGAAATAAAACCAAAAGCTAGAGTTTTCTTCCGGAACATCGAACCGATAGGCACTCCTTTATATTATCAACAGTCAGTCGCATAGCATTGCATAACTGGTTATTGCGAGCAGAAAGAAATAAAGAGTCTGTGTTGCGCTTCAAGCAAGAAACATGTATAAAATAATATAAAAAATAGCCATTGGTGCAATCAGCGTACGCGACCTGCTCGCGAATGCTGCACGCTTCTTCTTGCGCTCAAGCGTGTAAGGAGAAGAACTTGCTCCAGGCAAGTGAAAGCTCAATACCTGTTATTAATAAAGAAAAAATAGTATGTTTAATAAAAGAAAACCCCTAAAGAGATACCTCAAAGCGGCTTGCCATAACTAAAACCTTTACCGGCTAGCTACCATGCACTGCAAAAAGGGAGCAGGAAAAAAAGCAATAACGGGAAGACAAAATTATTAAAATTAGATAAACCCGAACACCTCTTAAAGGAACACTCACGAGCTATTTATGCTTGCAGGGAGTTTGACTCGAACAAAACGCACAACAGCCCAACAGCAAGAACAAAAAATATCCAACTCGAAATCTGTTTAACCTTTTTCGTCGTTTTTGCACGAAAACGGCCGGTTGGGAATGGGGAATTCGAAAGCTGCTGCTGTCACTTTTTTTCTCATTGTCACGTGCAGCAACAACAGAGTACGAGCAATATTTTTGCAGGTGTGGCGCAATGGAAGTTGTATAACTCATAAGACATGTTTTTTTTTTTTAATAACTGAAACTAAAGGAATGCGTTAACTTAAAGAACCTTAGTCTTTTGTCATTTGGAGCATATTTCCACGACTCAGCGAAGACTGTTTTTTCTGACTCCCGTACGCTATAATGTCACCATGGACAGCGAGGGTTCTCTGGCTCGTGTTTACCAGGGTTTGTTTTTCTACACAAACACGAAATCTTGCAGCAAAACAAAATTGAGAAGGTGTCTTGAGCGTGTTTTATTTCTTCGCGCAATAAAATTTAAATTTTATCTCGCGGTTTCAATGTTATTCGGAAGGAATAATTAGTTGGGTTTGATTTCGTAAACACAGCAGGAATTTTGCAGTCATTGTTTTTTCCCGAACAATCGAAGGCGCCTAGGATTATTTGGATTGATCGGGCGAGAATAATTTCGGTGAAGATCTTCCAGCGGCTCCTTTCGCCTCGCATAATTCTTGGGGCAACCTTTAAGAATATGGTAGAGGGATTCTATTTGTACATGAATATGTATTAAATGTAGGTAGGTTCATTGTAAGTGCAACGCCGAGTCTGATCCCGCGCAGTACAGGACCTGCCATGTAAGGCTGTTAGGTGATCTAAATTTTGTCTCACAATCCAGGAAATAAAGTCGTAAAAAGAGCGTATGCAGGGTGTTCTTTCGAAACGTGACTCAAATCATTCCTGCGAAAAATACGCAACACAAAAAAAAATGTTAATATCATAGTGTTCTTTCCACACACACACACAAAAAAAAAAACCTTTTGGGGAAATTAATGACATTCGGTACAATCCGTTTAATGAATTTCGAGTAATTCACGCAATATGACAATTTAGTGGTATGGTTTTAATTAGAAACTTGCTGGTGATCATTAAAACCGGCTAAATTATCTGATAAAAGTCTAGACACAACATAAGCATATTACTGCGTTCCGATAGAGACGCTCAATCTGAACGCACTTCTAAGTTATGGCTTTCTATCGGAGCGCATGCTTGGATCAGTGTACTTTGGGGTACACTTGTAAAATGCACAGTCCACATTGTTTGTCTTCGAACTCACGCAGGAAGAATACTTTCAAAATTTACGTGTTCGTGTCCGTGACTGCGTATCCCGCATTGCCTCAGAATACATTCGATATAAAGTGCATATTCTCCAACTTTGTCAATTTCTGGAAAGTGAGACTATAGACTCGTTCACAAGCACGACAACGATATTGTGGCATTGAGCTAAAATCGCCACATTATTACTACTAAAACTAAAGTAACCTTACATATGCGGTACAAACATTTAGGCAAACGCTTATTGTAATATTTGAGCAGGACAGAAGTTGGTATGAGCGAGACTTCACAGAGAAAGACTGAAACTATTTTTCCCGAGTGTGCACTTTCGCGTGAAACAAACAAGCATCCTTGTTCATAATGCAAATTCAGCGTGTATTAGAATGGATTAGGGGTTATTACAACGTGGAGTACGAATCAGTACGGCCTTGTACGAAGGAAGGCATGAAAACTTAGAGAATTACCACATCAGCTCACACTCACCTGCTCACCCGCACTGCCCTGACACAGTTTTTTCCTTTCCTATCTTAACTGTAAGGATAGTACGGAAATCACCTGCAATATCTAAAATGCCGATTTATGACATCAAATTTCAGTAGTTTTTTTTTTTTTTTTTTTTTTTTTTTTTATGGTGGCTGCATTGATGCTGCCTTATGTCTACTTTTAGAATATACAATTCCGTCAGCAGTTCAGAAAAAATATAGTGTCGGTTCTGATTTTTGCTTTTGCTTATTAATTTACTGGCTGAGTGTCGCTGAAGTGCCACGGCCGAGGGACTCCGAGCATCTGGAACACTAATATAGGCAAAATGCAAATTTACTTTATGCTCCTGCCACACTGCACTTTAGGCGGCATTCAACCAAATGCCGTGTCCGAGAGTAGAGAAGTAGCTCCCGTTCACGATTCACCACGCCCCACTCGGCATGCGGTGGTTCCCCATTCCTCCAACCGTCTTTGTTCTTAATTCCGTTTGAAAGGCCCAAATGACGAGGGCATGAAACGAGGATGAAGCTGGCAGTGGAGACTGTTAGTCTTAATAAGGCCGCTTGAATGTTTACATTTTGGAGAAATATAATAATATTTTAAGTGAGAAAAATAAGACCGCTGACAAACTCACACCTCACAATTATAGCAACGCATCTTTAAATCACCTAGAAAAGTACAATATTTTATTTCGCAATTATAATTGTTTTGCTCGAAATTATAAATAACCTAAAAAAATAATAGCCTGATTATTTTAAGCGTTTTACATCAGGAAAACTTTATTAGTATTCACTATATTTTCTCGTCTGCGCCCTTGCAAAAACGAGAAATATGATGCATATATGACACATTCTTTTTTCCCACCAATGCGTACTGATGGCGACGAAACCCAGCCGAACTTAGCATACTTCTTAAGTTTCAGAGCGTTCTACAGCATTCTTAACAAGTTGTTACCAACCATAATTTATGACAAATGTGTTATCATTTTTAGTTGTTCCCCTTTTCAAACGCGTTATCGACGAGCCGAGTTTTCGCATGATTCAACCCAGCGATTTAACTGGTTTCCACAAAATGACGTATACGGTGTGTGACACCGTTATCATGAATACGACTTCGGTGCATTTCTTCGCATTTTAATTTGAAAGGGTACTTGCTGGAGGGCATCATAATTTACCACTTTGGTTAGTACCGGAACCAAGCACATTCCACCACTATGGTTGTTTTGATTGCAGTCCTTCAATACTAAGTGACAAACATAGCAAATTGAGGATGGTGTGTTTGCGTTAACAGTGTCAAGGAGTGTACGACCTCCATCGGTTGAGCAGAGTCCAGTCGATCAACGCAGGCCTTTTGCACGACAGGAGCGAGCTGTTGCAGCCTACCTTTCCCTGCCGGAAGTGCCGCACGCCTGCTTCGGGATTCAGCACAAAGACCTCCTGGTTCTCAACTGCGGGAGAGCCCTCACCGCTGTTAAGGGCGACTCTCTCGATGACGACGAGCACAAAGAGCACCAGAAATCCCTCGGTACGCCCCATTCTTTGAATCTGGAAAACGAGAATGGGGGGGGTCAGAGAACATTAGAGGAATCTACCAATGCTGTAGGTTGCTTACGCAGGCGGGTGCGCGTTTCGCCTCATGTTGTTTCTCTCAGCTTATTGTTCACCTTTGAGCCATAAATGCTTCCGTTTGTTAGGTATTAGACGCTTCGAGGGACTGGGGCGTTGCCTACGGTTGAACATCTTTACTTCTTTTAAATCACCAAAAATGAAATATTCCAATATTTTCTATGAACCAAGAGACGACTCTGCAATCCCTCAACTCTGGTGGTACTGCTGTCGGTGCGGCGCATGCGTAGACGCTTCATCTCACCTCCATTCGGTTTCTGCGCACTCCCAGCGCCCACACCTCGAGTGGGCAAAGAGCGGATCGTTTGTAAACAACGCACTGGCTTATACTGTTTTTCATAGCAGAGCCCCCATAACATTCATTATGTTTTCTCTTCTTTTTTTCATTCTTGCTACCAATAGATAAGGACCTGAAAAGGGGAATCTAAAAAAAAAAAGCTTTACGGCATTCGTAAGGGGTTATGTTCAAGCTATCGGCTTTATCGAAAATCGCATGGGGAAGCGCGAAAATAATAATGAAGGAGCACGATGGAAAACTGCACAAAAATCCTAAGTAAATAGAGGAATGCACACACACATGCTTGTCGTCTGTGTACATCTCCCTTCTTCCTGTGATCCTGTGCGGCGTCCTTAACCATGTCTCTAGACAGCCCATAACTGAGTAAAAATTCTTTAGCAGTGTAAGTCACGTCTGTTTTATAAAGCACGACTGATGTCTCGTCATTGAGAAGCCGTCGTCGTAGTCCGTGTTCACTTGGTATGATTATATTTTGTTTTTATCCTCTTCTCACTTTTTTAGTGGAGAGCATGCAAGCAGCTGGGCAAACTGCTGCGCCTTCTCGAGCGACCACTTATTTTGCATGTCCCCGTTGACCCCTCACATTAATTCAAAACATTCATCCATGCTACTCACGTTTATGGCTGCCTGTTGCCCACCCGTTAGCGTCTTAAATTCTAAGAAAATATGATTAACCATTGGCACGCGTTTGCTTAGTTGTAAGTGTTAAAAACTACAATTAATTAAATAATTATTCAAAAAAATCGCGGTGTAAGACAGATGTAGTCAATTAACCAATGAACCGTCATAGAACTTACACACCTGCAAACACGTATACTTAGTGGAGTTCCGCGATCTTGAGTACCAGTTTTAATTTACGGAAAGCTAACTTATTCTCCTGGACTGCCAACGCTTTGTAGTTGAAAAACATGAAATAAAGATATGTCTAGAGCTGCTAGAAACACAACCCTTTGCTTTAGCAAAAATGCCGGGTCCTAGAAAGCCCGCAAAACACTAATAGGGGCCCTTAACATTATTCGTTTTTTTTAAATCTTTCTTCATTCTTACATTTTCATTCGACAGTAAAACATGGGAGCACGTGTTCGAGTGACTCCACGCGACAACCTGCACTTCTTTGTGAGATGTGACGTATATTTTTGTAAGACGGTCAATCAAAATGTTAACTGCGTTGAAGATCTGCTCTTGCACTTTACTTCCTTTGTGGTGTTCATTTTAATCAGGATTTTGTGATAATAAATACCCAGCCTTTTCATGTTCGTACCGCAGTGACTTCGCCACATTTACGATTCTCTCTTTGCTGATCCCTTTTCTTTCTCATTACTTCGCCCTTCCGATGCCACTAGATTTATATACCTGACTTCCTACTTTCAAGTTATGGACTAGCCGGTGCCGTCTTTAAGGCTGCCAATCTCTCCACAACCTTCATTTATTATTTCCCTCTCTCTCCCTCCCTGAAACTCTTACAAACACCAGCTTACGAAAAGAAAAAAAAAAGTACCAATTAATCATTGTAGCTTTAGAAATCTACGGTGGGTTGCCTGATGCCTCTGCGGGCGCTAGCTACCACATTACAATGTAGAACCGCGGCAACTTTCGTCAATGACGTGTATCTGCGCTGCGGCATGACCTAAATCATTTTTGTTTTCAGGTTTCAATTTTTGTTTTGACAAGACAGTACAGCATGTTACTTTTATTGTAACTGCTTATTCACATTGGAGCAGTGTAGACTCTGGTGATTGCGGCTGCGTTCCTTATAACCGACACCCCTTTTAGAGTTCTCAGAAAACTATGTGGCGTGGGACGCAAGAAAGCGCCACTGCCCCTTCGGCCATTCTTCAGTAGTCAGTACACAGGGGTGAGGTGAGAGGAAGTTTAGGGGAATTAGGGGCGCCCGGACGAAGAGCCTACATGATCGTAATCTTGATTTAAAGCTCGCACATTTCCACGTCTTTGTTCACTTTATTTCTTTATCTTTAAGCGTAATCTTGTTTGCCAATCGTTTTTTTTTTAACCTTTACATCTGGAGTAGTTCGAAAGCCATATGCTATTTTTAATGAAATAGAAGACCTCGAAAATATATGCTAAAGCCCGTTCGTCCCGATGTTCGCCTGTGTTTACAGCTCCCACAGGAGCCACAGTACAGCACAAACAAAAATCTTACGTTTGTTTTAATCCCCGTCTCGCCAACGACTCCTCACCCACTGGCCCGCCACCGCGCTCTCCAAGTGTGACACTGGCATCATTGTTGACGCCACGTAGAGGAAGCACCGCAAAGAATTACGCTTTTTTTTATGTTGACGATTTTATTTCTTTATAACTTTCAGATAGCTGTAGACTGCGCGAAGCAGTTAGAACAAACAGTACATCGGAGTTTTTTGTAAATTGCTCATAAATGCTAATGAAAAAAAAAAAAAAGCCAACCGCTTATGTTAGAACCCTCAAGGAGCTCATTTAGTTATACTTTAAAATTGGTTACCGAAACTCCCAGCTAAAAAAAAAAAATGTTCGACAAAAACCCCGAGACTGGGACAAAAAGGGGTTTTTGTCGAAATGTTTAACCACCACCAGCTCGTTTGCGCCCTTACCTTTTGTTCATTAAAAAAAAAAAAAAGATTGTTGATGGCTTGTTTGCGCTAAAGTTTTGCGCTCTGCACACTTTAGATATATTGCCCGCAGCACAATGTACACCGCTGTGATGGTGACATTTTTGTGGTCTGATATTCAAAAACTTTTATTGGTTCACCAATAAACTCATCCTTTAGGTGGCAAGTGATTTCTTTTAAAATTGCAATGACAAATGTAGCGAAAAGTATTTTCATTTTGTTGCCTTTGATTTTACTATATATAACAGCGTTGATGGGAACATCGTTGTGTTTACGGGAGATACTGACGATTTCTCTATATAATCAAATACTTTACCGTACAATAACAGAAAGTAACTCGCCTATGTTTTCTTATAACATGAAGGGACGTCTTGTTGGAAGTTTGGCATGACGAATAGATTTCGTAAATGCGGGGAGACTGTTTGCTGGTACGATATGATGAATTGATCAGTGAAACCGTTTGATGCTACCGCATAAATGAATGATGGTAGTTTTTATAACCTTCCCATATATCGGCATCTTGCACCACCTAACCTACAGACATTTATACCCTCCAGCACTCTAAGTATTTTCCTAAATTAAGGCTCCCGTTAAAATATCCAAGCTGTAAAATTTGCGTCCAGATTGCTAAGCTCACATTTGAAATTTATTTTGCTTTTCACGGCCTAAGCTCTGCAGGAAGGTAGAGACAAGGCGCGTTCATGCTTAACTGAGCTAGGCCTTTACCCCCGTAGTTAGCAGCGAGTACACATAATTGTGCAATATAAACGAATACCATTGGAAAAAATAAACATCTGGCAAATTCACGTGCGTTCTAGAAATACACGCCTCTCTAAAAACAATACAAATTTAAAACATGCCAAACAAAATAGCATTGTAGCATTTCGCATCTTTAAAAAACACAAAGGTTTATTGCACGATCATCGGAGAAAAAATGTGAAGTCATCCTCAAGAGAAAATTTCTAAATCCCCAATAAAAAGTTCGCCGAATCATACTGGCACAAAAAAAAACACTAGACTCACATTGATGCACAAAAAACACTGTGCTATACGATGTCCCAGAAAACGAATAAAACATTAATATAAAAAAAAATCTTAACTCAGGCTTCAAAGCACAAGGCATATGTTCACTGGAAACCTCAGAAATCGCGAAAGTGCTTCGTTCTGCTTCCCAAAACCTATTTCGTTGTAAATATGCGTGTTTTGTTATTTCGTTCTTGTATTGATGAAATGATAGAAAAAAAAATCGGCATGGTCCTCAGAATTGTTTTAGCAATGCATGAAAATTTCACGTAAACATTAGTCAAGCAATTTTCGTTTTCCGTAATTCGGCCTTATATTTGGCGTTTCTTGTTTCGTTTTTCTTAACCAATAGTGTTACATAGGGACTTCACCAATTTCACAAAGCTGCTGTTTTCAAATTATTTGCATAAACACCTGGCTTGCTTTAGGTATTTTTTTTTTTAATACGGCCTACCATAAAATCGATGATATTACCCTGATATATTTCAAGAATGCGGAGCACCCTTTTTTGGACTGTATGTAATTTATTATAGTTTTTCATTGTTATTTTTCTCCAGTTGGGTAATTAACTTGAATTTTTTTTTTATATACACGAACAACCGATTTTAATAGAACCCTACCCTAGTCACATGAGTTCTTCAGTTAAAGTGTGGTTCCGATTTTTTTTCTCGACTATTTTTACCTCGTCAAATCCAAGTGCTCACATAAACGTTGCCCTTCTTCCAGGAGGACAAAACGAAACCCTCTGCATTTTTAAACTGTATGTTCTTTTCCTTATTTAGCTTTAGTACAGCCATGGTATGGCTAATATCTAAATTTACCCCTGTATATTAACACTCCAGTTCTAGAATCAAACCGCAAAAGGCCTGCGTAAAGGAATTTTTTTTTTATTTGTCAACTTTGCACAATCAGTGCCGAACTTCCTTGCATTCTTTCCGTCCGCATTCTCCTCTCTACTTCCCGTGGTGCCTTTTCCACGGATATTGTCTGCTGAGCCCCATCTCTTCTTTGTGCGAAATTAAAATTTATCCCCCGGATTATATTTGTAAATTGTTTGTTCGATATTTTTGATTCATATTGGCACACGTTGCCTGCCCATTCTATATCCTCCTTTTTGGTTAGTTCTTTGGAAGTTTAATTTACTGATTGCACTCTACCACCAAATGATAAATAGTTCGTGCCCCCTACACTTCTTAAGTTGGTATATTCTCCAGAGTACCGCATTGCAATACGAATGCCCCAAAACCATGATATAATTTTATATATCCCCCACGACTTCATAGCGATTATAGTTCCACAGTTCTTTGTGTTTCGTACTTGATTAGTTCCTGCTTCCTTTTTATAGTGTGTTTCCTTTTATTGTTTTTATGTATGTTTTGCCTCTTCGCTATGGTGATAGATACGTGCACTTATTCACAAGGTGTAATATCATGTTTTGTGTTTTCAGGGGCAGCATTCCGCAGTGCTAGGATTCTTGCGTGCTCTGTTCATTAGAAGACCGCAGTGATCTCCTTAAAATAAAATGACGTGAAATTAATATTTCTACACCTCATATCGCATTTGTAGAAACACGTTCAGATGTTTCGCCGTCTTCTGACGGCTCAGCTTCATTAAGGCTTGCAAGTTCTTTTAAAATATTTTCTTTTTAATTCACAGGTAGTTATTATTGAGTACGGTATTAAACTTGTTGTCTATACAAGACGTTTTGGAGGCAGTTTCGGCCCCCTGAATTTGTCAAACCCGATGCTACAGTAGAAATATCGAAATTAAAGATTGCGGTGGGCGACATTTTTAGAACTTGACGTCCTCAATGTCGCTTGATATCTGAATTTAACGCGCAGAGGTACTTAGTCACAGTCTGTCGTGAAACACAGAATGATTATCTATTAACCACGCTAGAGACCACGGGATGCCTATAAACACCTTTAAAATAGCATGTTCTTCTGATGGATATGAAAATACTGAATCGTGGCGAGTGCACCAAATACCGTAAAGCCCACCCAGTATCAGAGTTCTTAGGGCCAACTTTTTTGTTTCCTCAGATTTTTGCAGTTTTGGGAAACCCAAACACCCGACGTCACTTCCGGTTAGCCTCAATATCGAGACCAGCATTGTCGTCTGTTGTTAGTGACTTGGCGTCATGTCGGAGGCATTTAGAGTATTATTGCAGCAGCAGTACTGCCGTACATCTCGATTAAACACAGGTCAAAATAAGCGTGAGTTGTGTTTAACATTCTGGACGGCACTTGAACGCGCGCGGAGTGCCGTCGCTCGGCACTTGCACGCCTCGCAAGAGTGCCGTCGGACAAAAAACCCTGTCGTCTGCTGATCACTTGAGGTGAGTGACAAGAGAACTAGTGCCGCTACCTATACGTAAAATTCTTGGGGGATATTGTGCAGAACTTCTCAGTATTGTAGCCGGTCCTCTAACTTTTTTACTGGCTACACTGATGAAGACTCGAGCTGCCGCACAAGTGATTTCGTCTGTTTTACTTGTCTTATAGTGTATCTCAAAGAGGTTCCTCACCTGACGCGAAGTGGAGTTCACAAACACTTGGAACGAATCTTTTCTGTCGAGATTGTGCCGGCGTATCCGTCAGAGCCATCCATGACGCCAGCGAACCGATTGCTCGATCATCGCCTTGTCCTGGTTCCTAATGATTGCCGGAATTCTAAAACAAGCAATACTGCTGGCCGTAGATTCATATTGTCGCCGAGTTTGACGGCTGAAATATTTTTGGCGGTGCAACTGACCATTTTAGAACTCAAGTGAGCGAACAGACTACAGCACGAACACGCCTCCAAAACACACAGCACATAGGATAACAGCGATGAATTCCTCCAACATGAATTCAGCCGAGTTGCGGCAAGATTTCCGAACCGATAGTAGCGCTGCATCATGGTCTCGTGCAAGAACCGTATAGATAAGCTTGACCTACTTAGACCAGAGTCGGGGTAAATTTGCTGTAAATTGCCAAACAACTGCCAAAGTCAGATTAGTTTGGCTCTCATCTGGCATCTTTAAGCATAAATCGCCAAACGAAGTGGCAAAGTTAGGCTTCACTTCTTGTTGTCCGGTTTTCATGTGGCAACTTTGGCCAACATGTCCAAAGTAACAGAATTAGGCGTCACAGTTGGTTGTTCGGTTGATACGCGGCATATTTGGCTCACGTGTGTCACTTAGGCATTCAGGTGACAAGCCAGGAGAAAGCCATAAAAAAAGCAAAACGAACGTATTTTGGCACTGACTATCGCCTCGGAGCAAAGGCATCATTAAATCCGCGTTACGCCTTCTATAACATGGCCAATCTTGGGCCAAGTTCGGCATTCCTCTGGCGTGCTGTTCGGGCGTAAATTTGTGATTATAAAGTGCACATTTCGAGATGTTCGTGTTTTGATATAGTTCAGTGCTTTTGAGGCTTTGCTGTGATACAGCTGATTTTTAGACAAGTCTATAAAAAGCTACAAGGAAGCAGATACATAAGCTTCTGATCCCCTTAGCATTGTTTTACGTATTATGAGCGCATTGCTTCCTGCTCACCTGACATTTCTGATGAAGGTTGTATATTAGCTCTTTATTAATCAGAATACTCTTCATAGTAATCGAAAAAACTGCATGTTTTACGTATTGTTTTTTCTCTAGGGAATGCTGGTATAGAGAAGCATGGGCAACCGAATCCCTGGAACCTATAAAAAATGTCTTCGGTGCATTCTAAAAAATATACTATATTTATTTTGTTGCTTTTTAAGGTGCATATCTGCCAAGCTGCCTTAAACTGTACAGCAAACTCGGACCTATTATAATAATCGCACAAAACATTATACTTAGCAATACTTTACCTGAAAAAAGGGACTTCCTCGTCAACTCCAAAGAAGATGCGCTCAAACCGCAGGGCCACAGGGGAAACCACAGCAGCACCGGACCGTCCTCATAGACTGAAAAATACTTTTTCGCGGGGCCTCCCTTGCCTTTTATAGCAATCTTGCGGGAAAGCGGACCGTCCACCCACGCTGGAGCTGCCTGTCCTCGCAAATGCGTCTCACTCCTAAATCCGAACTGATCCCTCTGAAATCTATTCGCCGCAGTGAGCTTAGACGACGCGTGTCTGGATGCGCTTGCGTGTGCGCGAGCGTACGTCTGTGTGAGCATGCCTTCACGTGTCCGTGTGTGAGTGTTTTATTTATGGGCACTGGGCTCGGGATTACACAAAGGGCACGTCGAGACAAGCGGGCTCCAATTGGGAGAAGTGTTTTAAAATAGGCCGGGGCTGAAGTCCTCGGGGCCCAAGATTTAAAAAAAAAAAAAAAAAAAAATCTCGTAGGTCTTTTATTTCTCTACGTGCAGCCGTGAAATTCCGCGTATTTGCTTTGGGGGTGCATTTGGTTGACCCCATCCGACCGCTAAGCCTTTTTGCTAGAGTGCCTTTTAAAATGCGTTGACGAAAAATAAAACTGTATACGACTTACTTTATGCTGCACAGGAAGGTGTAAGGGAAGGAAGAAAACGACTTTCTCTGCTTTGTTTTGGTAGAGAGTGTGGAGACGAATCGTACCGCGCTGCTCTAAATTTTTGACGAGATGACGCTGTATTTTAGAAATGTTTGTTGTGTGTGGTTTGTTTTATAAGAATTCAGTTTGTGTTTGTTACATGACTGTTTCACCAATCTTAAGAATGCCCCTTCAAGGTTGTTTTTTCTTACAATTTCACATTTATATGCGTCACACACTATTTTATATGTTACGAAACACTCTAAAGAATGTCTCACGTTTGTGTCGTGTCATTTCTTTTTTTTTTTTTTTTTTAATGCGAGTGTAACTGATTTTTGTCAGAGTTCTGTTTAGATGGAATGTCTTGTGCGAGTAACGACATCGAACGAAAGGACGTTGAGGAAAAATCATAAAGCATCCAACATCTTTCAGCTCCAATATTCGCCCTTTATTTCTTCAAATATATATTTTATTATTTTCGGTGCCAAGCGGTCCCGCAAAATAATGTAATCAGCATTAAATGCGTATTTTACCTTGGAGGGTTGTGTGTAGAGGAGTATACTATGTGCGCCAACAGTGGAAAATGAAGGATGTACTTTCTTCGGGAATGTGTTTAGCTACCTATCAAAGGACGAGCCTGTACTAATACTAAGCTTGAGCTTTCTTGAGATAATAATGCTCAAGAAAAGCAGGGCGTGGCTCATTATGTTGTTGTTGTTGTTTGGGGGTTTTATGGCGCAACAGCAACGGAGGCCATACTGCGCCAAACAAAGTTAAAAAGAAAACAAGCTGTTATTGTTACTGTGCTATAAAATAATAATTAGCTATGCGGAACTAGATCTGATAAATAAAACCTGCGTTAGTAATATAAGTCAACAGACGGTCAAATGGGATGAGGGGATATTCTCCCAGTAAAGGAGCAGGATGGAATGGAATTTGGAAATTAAACAATTGAGGAAAGTGGATACGGCGTTCATTGCCCAAAGCTGTACAGAGCCACAAGATATGCATGATGGTAAGAGTATCCCAACAATGCTCACACACCGGTGGGTCCTCCCCACTAAGAAGATATTTGTGCGATATGTAGGAATGACCGATTCGAAGTAGGGCACAACAATACTTCATGGAATCGGTTCCTGTGAGAAGAGTCCTTCCGGAGCCCGAGAACCGGCTTTGTAATGTGAAGTTTATTGTTGCACTCCATGTTCCATTCAGACTGCCATAAACGAAGAAGGGATGACTTTGTTAGAGGTTTAATGTCTTGGTGTGGCAAACAGGCGCGAGACGGGAGAAGATTACCTCAGGATGTAGCGAGTCTGTCTGCTTCCTCGTTACCTTCTATTCCCATAAGACTGGGCAGCCAACAAAATTTTATATTTAGGCCTCCATGTACAGCTTTATTGAGCTTATTTCGTAGTTGCTGCACCAGCAGAATTTTAGTAACTCTCAAAGACAATATTGCGGTAACAGCACTCTGAGAGTCTACGAATAGGACAGCCTGCTTTATTTTAGCCCGGAGGATATAATCTATGGACATAGATATTGCATAAACTTCAGCTGTAAAAATGTTGGAGAATGTATTTAGACATTTCATTTAAATAAAATAATCAGAATGCACGGCGCTGCCAACAAATGACGTCTTAGCACCATCAGTGTAAAAATGTGTGTAGCCTTCATACTTTTTCACAAGCTCAGAAAATTCCTGTTGGATGATAAGGGCAGAGACCCTATGTTTATTAAACCGTGTGAAAGCCCAGTCACAAGCAAATGGCACTATGTCGAGGGGGGCAACACAATCTACATTCTGCATAAGATTAACTTTGTCCAAACAAAGATCAAGTGAGGAACCTTGCTGTACTCGGAAACTCAAGGGCCTTACGATGCTTGGCTTATTTTCGAAGAGGCGGCGATATCTAGATTTTTGGAGGTAGTTGTAGGTAGGATGATTACGGTTCGCAAGTATGTTGTAGTAGTATGTTAAGCTTAAATGTTGGCGTCTTTTCTCGAGTGACATCTCATTTGATTCAGCATACAGGCTGAGGACGGGGGACGTCCGAAAAGCACCTGTTGCGAGTCGCAGTCCAAGGTGATGGACTGGATCCATCATCTTGAGCGCAGACGGTCGCGCAGAGCCATAAACTGGAGCCCCATAATTGAGACGGGATCGAACCAGAGCATTGTACAGACGTAGAAGGCATTTTCTGTCAGATCCCCAGTTTTTATGGGCTAAGACTTTCAGAATATTTGTAGTTATGAGACATTTTTCTTTGAGTAACTTCAGGTGACACATAAAAATGAGCCTTTTGACAAAGGTAACACCTAACAACTTGTGCTCTTTTCTGACAGGGATGCAGGTTCCTTGCAGTTTCACGGATGGTTCTGGTGATAGCCCGCAGCTTAGTGAAAATGGGACATAGACACTTTTCTCGGGTGAGAACTCAAAGGGAAGATGGGACACTTCTACATTTGAGAAAAAACGCTTGAATTGCGTTCATTTGGCCTTTAGAATAACAGATATCAAAATTATATTTCAATGCGACGCGCCGGAGAGCCACAAGAGCAATTTCAAAATAGGGCTGAAGCCCCGCCTCCCTAGCCTTGGGCAGCCAAAAGATCCGTCGATGACGTCACGGACAGCGACTGTCTTTCGCGTTTTTCTCGCGTTTAACAATACTTACGCAGCAAATGGTTTGGGTATTCGGGTTCACGGGGTGAAAATACACTAGAATTCACTTCTAACTCATTTTTTCTAAAAAGCTCCGTAGCTTCAATTTAAAACCATTCTCATCTGCCCACTTGGCAAGCTTATTTATGGCAAGCTGTAGCTGGCGCTCACAGCTCGGAAGATTGCATGACGATGCTGAAATTTGGATATCGTCAACATAAAGCGAGTATGCAATGGACGGCGGCAAAACCTAGGCGAGAGAATTCATTTTGATTATAGAAAGTGTAACGCTCAGAATACCTCCCTGGGGAACGCCGTTTTCCTGAATCAGATCAGTTTTCTGAATCAGACCATATCAGACAATATGGTCCCAAGTCGAACCTGAAACGTTCTCCCTGTTAAGAAAATTTTTATGCACTGCAGCATACGACCGCAAATTCCATAGCTATAAAGGTCTTGGAGGATGCCATATCTCCACCCGTATCGTAGGCTTTTTCTAAATAAAAAAAGACTGACACACAATTCTGCCTATTTACAAATGCCTCAGGTAGGACCGTCTCCAAGCGCACCAAATGATCCAAGGGCGATCGTCCTCTGCGAAAACCGCACTGATTGTTATCCAAAATGCTTTCCCTTTTTAGAACGTGCACTCGCCGCCTGTTTATCGGCCTCTCATAAGTTTTCCCTAGACAGCTGGTTAAAGCGATCGAACGGTAACTAGAGGGCAGAGATGGATCCTTACCTGGCTTCAGGAGAGGGATAAAGTGTGCCCGTTTCCAAGCCGCTGGAAAACAGGCCCTTTCCCACAAGGAATTAAAGAAATTAAGAAGGGATTCAAGAGACTCCGTAGAGAGATTAGGCAGCATTTCGTAATGCAGTCCATCGGGTCCAGGAGCAGAGATCTTTTTGATATGAAGGGCACTCTCTAGCTCACATTGTGCGAAAGGCTGATTATAAGGTACGGTATTTGGTCCCGTTGTGAGTATATTATGTTGCTCTGTGCGTCGTTTAAACAACGTGAAAGAATCACAATAACTAGAGGAGCTGGACACGGAATGAAAGTACTCCCCAAGGACGTTAGCCGTATCTTTCAGTGAACCAGATGGAGGGTTGAAAACGGGAATCGCAAAACCCCCATAGAGCCCTTTGATTTTCTTGAACCTATCCGAGACTTCCTTAGCAGTTACAAAGCTGCTCAGAGATGGCACATATTTCATCCAGGTTTTCCGCTTTGATCGCTTACGGGTACACCGGGCTTTGGTTTTTCGTTTCTTGAACTCTACCAGGTTTCTTGAGGTGGGATACCGCGTGAACTTGCCCCATGCCTTGTTTCGCTCCGTGCGCGTAATGGCGCACTCCTTATTCCACCAAAGTTTGCACTTGCGAGGCAGAGTACTGGTAGTTTCGTGAATGGAATGCTGAGCGGCGTTTATTATCTGCTCTGTCACATACAATGTGGCCTCATCCGCAGTCATGGAGGGAAGCAAAGATGTATCCAACGTGGAGTTTAACGTAAACAGAGGCCAGTCGGCCTTGTCCAACTTCCACCGAGGCATTCGTTTTAAAAGTGTGGGAAGAAAAATGTCGCTCTCTAAAACAATAGGGAAGTGGTAACTCCCAAAAGGGTTATTAAGAACCTGCCAAGAAAAACAAGGCACTAATGAAGGTGATACAATAGATAGACCAATAGATGTAAATGAATTGTGAGCCGAACTAAAAATGTAGGCTCTCTACTATTAAAAATACATCATTGAGGTGATAGTGAGAAACGTTCAATTACACTGCCACGAGAAT